ATTCCTGCACTGCATGAGGGAGGTCCTGCATCCATTATGTGAGGTGCTGGGAGGCTTTCCTGTTCTAGGCTGGTTGAGCACTGTAGCATGTGCCCCATTCTACTGCTGCCCAGAAACGAGGGTCTCGGCAGCATACAGCCATGTAATGAAGCTGAGTGGGTGGGAACTAGATTTGTGGGTGAACCTTCATGCTGAACTAGGGATGTGCTGGTGTAAAGGAGTAGTGGGAGATCTGTGCGTGTCTGGCAGCCTGGGCTTTGCCTGCTGAGATGCAGAAGTCTGACTAGGCTGTGCGTGGCTTGGTAGAAACATGGTAGTAGCTGTTTTATCTCAGCTTTATCTGATCAGTGAGTGTATTTGTAGCACACTGATCATTGTGTTTGCCTGAGCCCTGTGGGAGCTGCTGGGGAGCAGACTCTCATTCCATCTGTCTCACTGAAGCATTTGTCAGTCCTGGGAAGGTTACTTCAGAATAATCCAGTGAAGAGACTGAGGTCTATGCTCTAGGTGGATTCTTCATCATAGTCTGTTGCACGAGAGCTGAGGGTAAAAATAGGTGCATGCTTCACCTTCCCATTGGCCTCTGGGACAAAAATTTGATTTTTGGTTGGGACAACAGCCTTTAGATGTCCCTGATCTGCTTACTCCCTTTTCTCATGCTGCAGAACACTATCAAAAAGCATAAAATGAGGCTACTCTGGGATTATTCTAGGGCTACACTGGAGAGCATAGGAGCTGATGTATGAGAAATTTAAACAATGGATCTTTATGGAAAGAGTAGCATCTTTCAGCATAACAGGAGTAACAGCATAAAGACACTTCCAATTCAGGCAATCTTGCCAGCAAGGGCTGAGAATCTGGCCCAGAATCTGGCCATGGTGTTCACTTGTGCCTCATACCCCCACTTCAAGGAGAGCTGTGTAGAAATGTGCGAATCTTTGTTTTGGCGAAATCCCTGTGCCTCCTTGCTTAGGCTGGGGCTTATAGCCCTCACGCTTGCACAGCTGAGCTATGTTTGGAGCCTGGTTGGTGCTACGGTGCCCTTACTAAGCTTTTTGAGGCTATTTCAGAGAGATAACTGCAGTAGCTGCCAAATGTATTTGAATTCTGGTGTGATAGTGTGAATACACCACAGACCTTCTGGGGCAGCAAGGGATTCATTAGCTGTGCTGGGATCAATGAAGATGAACTCTGGTTTTGTTGCTTGACCATGCACAATGGTGTCTGATTAGAAACAGGAATTCAAGGACGAAACCAGGGCATTTCTTGGGCTGAAGGGATAAAGCCCTTCTTAATTTAGAGGACAGCTGAGACCTTGAACTGCCAAGCTTTAAATGATTTTTACTCAGTGAATCTCCCTGGCTCTGTGGTATGGCAAACATACGTTTCTCCTGCTGTGAAGAAAGCTCCAGTTTAAGTGTTGGAATGGGAGTTTAGGATTTAGTCTTGGCTTTTCAGTTTAATTCCCATAAAAAAGGGGAAGCAATTTTTATGATAGGAAGCCAAATGTTGTTTGGCTGGTGCTGGGAGTTTGGCTCTGCAATGTCTCTGTGTGAGCTGGGCAGTGAAGGGTCAGTGATGGAGATTTCAAGGACAAGAAGTCTGATGCTTTAGAGATTAAACTTCCAGTTTTGGGGCAGCTGAGGCTTCCTGCAGCAGTTTCTGCTACAAATGTTCTAGGGGAGCCTTTGCACCATGTGGAGGCAAATGCTGGCTTGTTTGCTGTGGTGGGCCTGGGGGCCCCTTCAGATGTGCCTGAGGGTATAAAGAGCCTGGTGAATTTGGCTAAGAGGATCATGGCTATTGTGGGATTAATTTCAAGTAGATTGCACAAACTAGCACTGTGTCTGGTTTTAATCTGATGCATCTTTCATCAGATAACAGACCAAGAAGCTTGGTGGCAGGAATTTGAGTTTTAGTCATGCTTTTGTTGTGTGATTGCGGTGGAAGGGAGCTGAGCAAGTGGACTCTTGCGTGAGTGCTGCTGAATGTAGTTTTGTTAGCTTCTCCTCAGGATATGGCTCTTTTGATAGCTCATGGGAATCATTGGGAAAGAGGTGAATCTGAAGAGCTGCTGATATAATGAGAAAAAAACTGAGCTCATGTCTGTATTGTGATTATATTAGTTATGAAGGTCTAAAATGCAGCAGTGGTTGTAATTTGGATGAACTGTTTCCAAAACTGCATCAGCATTTTAGAGTTGAACCCTGGTATGGGGAGTGGTGGCCAAAGCTGTGATGAACCCCCTGACCATCCTTCTTTTATCTTTCTTTTTTTAACCAAACCAGGGTGTAAGAGAAATGGACTGAAGGTAAAGCATGTTAAATGTGCTCTATCCCATCTTGTGGCACTTGCTGGTTCATGTTCAGAAGTGGTAAGCCTCTCTGTCCTAGTAGGTTTCAAGAGACTTGCTCTCCTCTGCTGGGATAGCAGGTGGGAATTTTGCTGCACAGGAGGAAAGCAAGAGACTAACCCTTGCCACTAGCTGTTAGCTGCTCTGCAGTGTGGGTCATCTGTGCAGTAGGGATTCTCTTGCTGCTCAGGAATTTGCTTGAGCTGCAGCATGTGGGTGCGTAGGATGGAGGCCATGTGTCAGAGCTCCTGTGTGGCCAGATGTGAACCACAGCTGCCCCAGCTGTACATGCTGAACCTCTCCAAGATGAGGCATGCAGCCCAATGCTTGCTACCATCCTTTATAAGCTTGTGCTCAGTGCCAGGACCCTCCTGTGTCTCTGATTCCTGTCTATACCTTTCCAAATCAGAACTCAACTGTACTCTCAGACCTTCTCCTACAGGCAGGGATCCCAAACAGGTCTCTACAGTCTCCAACCCAAGATCCTAATCCCATGTGCTGCCCTGTGCTTGGTTATCTACCTACCCATCAGCTATGCCAGCTACAAAGGCTCCTGGAATGAGATGGTTTGGGGATGTGCTGCACCTGGACTGTAATTTGTGTTACTTCTCCTGAAGCTTCATGCTCAAGGCTAGGAACAGTTTGTCCTCTGTGAATATAAAATGTATGTAAACATGACAGACACTTCATATTTAAAATGTGCTCATTTAAATTGTTTCCCTCAATCTTTCCCTCTCTCCCCTCCCCCCACTTAAGCTTTGGATAGATCCTAGAATCAAGATGAAAAATGAGAAAAAACATTCTTTCATTATGAATTTATTGAGAAGCAAGAAGAGCACATAGCTAACGTACAGAATAATTCACATATCACTTAAGAGATGTTAAAGAACACAAAATTCCAGATAGACTCCAGAAGACTAGTGATATGAATCCGGTGACAGGACATGGATCACTGGAAAAAAAGGCATGTTCATCCTGTTTGGTCTTTGTTCTATGGTTATAACAAAATCTGTACTAGTGGAATCTCCAGATAGATTTAAGATGTTGAGTGCTGTACCTGCATAATATGTGATCTATATGAAAGTCATTTTAAGCCTGTATTAGAAATGGATACCTCGATAACTTGCTGCAAAAAAAGTGTTTATGCTCTTGCCTGTTCTGCCTCGTGCTATTTTCATCCTAAAATGAGAATGTTGGTAACAGATACTTTCTATATACAACTGTATATATCTGAGGAGAAAAAAGTAGGTTACAGTATGTGTTTAGAGATAAAATTACCACTACAGAATCTAGTAACTTCTTGAAAATAGTGACTTATAAAGAGAAACAGCATCAGAACCACCATGTGGGGACTATTTTCTTCAGAATCATTGTAGCATGCAAGCAACCCACTTGATTTGAATGGTTTTGGTAGTCTGCAGCATTCATGAAATTTGTTTGTTGCTAATAATACTCTAAATAATTTTTCACGGTAAAATCGGCACAAGCGACAATGACGTGATCTTCATTAGTCAGCTTTGCTGAAATAGTGTAATCTCCCTGTGTGAGACAAACACAAAGCAAGAGATTAGCCCATCAGTAGTATATCACTGCTTCTCTTTCTATGACTGAGTTATCTTCCTAGAAACAGAATGCTGCTTTTCCCATCAAGTTCCTCCAAAACCTTTCCTGTCCAAATGTTTCAGAAGTGGTAAAGGACTTGCCTGTATTTTCTGCCAAAATACTCTCTTCAGGGATATTAATGCTGACAGCACAAATTCAAAATTAAAACACAGCAAGGAAAACAAAATGTTTTGCTGCATAAAACCCTTCAAATCAGTGTAACTTCTCATGTTTCTTATAAGCAAGCACACTATGGCCTGTGATGTTCAGTAAGTGGAAGGGGTGCTCAGTTGTCTGTCACTTCTCTTCCTTGGATCTTGTTGTTCAGTGTTATTGATATGAGTTTTTATAAGAGAGCACCTTGGGGGATGTGTGTGTATAGATGATTCAATCTATGATGAATTCCTATATAATAAAACAAGAAGTAATTTAATTTCAAATTGTGTAGTTAAAATTACAAATTCAGGCTTTCTGGAGAATTTGTATCATGGCAGTGCAAAAAAAACCCTGAACCTTAAAGAAGCCATGGCTATCTTGCATGAGTCAAAACTGCTCTCTCCAGACACTAGGAAAAGGAGAAGCATTAGCCAGGGGAGGTGACAAGGCTTATTTAACTCATGTGGAGGAAGAGGTGAACTAGATTTAATTCAGTTTTGATTGCTGGCACTGCAGTAATTATTTCTGAGTTTTTTTTCTGGAGTGTGAAGGGGAGCAAAATCTGGGGTAGGAGAGCTTGGCAGCAGTGGCCTCCTGGCTGTGAACCACAGAAAGCTCTTGCCCTGCTGAGAACCATTCTGGATGTGGAGTAAAAGGAGGCATGGCTAGAATGAGTCAGGTTTCTTGGCGTTTGCCTTTTGCAATGGGATTTATAAAGCAATAACTGGCCTGTGTCCTCACAGAGAGGTTCAAGTTAAGTGTAATGTCCAAATTTAGAGAGAGGCCCAATGGCAGCATGCTTGTGAGAATACAGCCTTGTTGTAATTGCTGTGTGGACTGTGCAAATATCCCTCAGGCTGCTGAGATGAGGCTGTTCTTTGTAGTGAGCAGAAGACAATTGCTGTATGGAATAACTCCTTATTGCCAACATGGAAGTATGGTGTTATTTGTCTGATTGATTGATTGATTAACAGAAAAGTTTTCCTGTTCCCTTTCTCACAAGCATGTTATTTCTCTAAAAGCTTATAGTTTTATTCATGGAAGGGAGTTCATAATTACTAATTTCCATTGCTTATTAGTGATTAGATTTTTTTCACTCCTCCAGAATAAATTTTTGCTTGTGGTGAAAAATTGTTATTAAAAGAGTATTGTGAAGAGTCTTGGGAGTCCTGACTCCAGATTCAGCTAATTTGCCCAGAACTGGAGTTTTACTGGTCTGTGTGCATGTTTTTAGGGCTTCCTCTTGATTTAAAGACCTATTCCTCAGTTTGTCTAGTGGCTTTACTATATAAGTGTCCTCAGTATGTTAGTAAAGCTGCTCCTGAAGCAAGATGCTGATTGATGTGAGCTCAGACACTCCTCTGTGAGAGATCAATAGGCATTGCTCAACACAGCATCTCTAGGCATAGTCTTTAGGGAAGCAGGCTGGCAGGGGTGGGGTAACAGCCTGCATAAGGAGGCCCAGCTCCCTGTGTGAAAGCCTTGGGAAAATGAAGTTTGTGGTTGCTGCTATCACCAAAGGAAGAGTGAGACATATGAGATGGTAGCTGTTGTGGAGGCTCCATTTTTCCAGAAGCCAGCTATCCTTGTTATCACCTCTGCAGGTCTTGGCAAGCCTGGTTCTTAGGGAGCTCATATATTTGATCTGTATCCCTGTTCTGATCCCGTCTTCTTTGCCTCCACCTGTAAAAATCCAGTGCTGAGCAGGCCTCAGACCTCGTTTTTGAGCCTCTGACAGGTTTTAGGTCTGCTGCTGAAGAACTGAGTCTCTATGCTGTGCCTCTCTGAGTAAATCTAAGGGGTATTTGACCACCTGAACTGTATGCTTTTGCAGTGGTGCTGTGATCCTTTCTTCAACACATTCTCAACCAGATGTCTTGGCAATCCAGATCTTGCCTTCTCCCTTTCAATCCAGTTTCTTTGTTGTATGTCACTGAAAAATTCTTTGTTATTCACTGATCAAATATAGCATCATGCTGTGCCCAGTTAAGAGACTGGTGTATTCAACATTTGAGACCTAGTCCTCTTTGCAATGTTATTTGGTTGACCTTCTAGGAGACATAGCTGAGTGTGGAGAAGGCTGTTAGTAGAAAGCATCTGTAATGGATGACCAGGAAATTCAGAGCAGTACCTAGAGTACTGCTAGTTTTCTCACTTTTCTAAGAAGTTATTTTCTTATTTTAAGGCTCCATAAGTCCAGAGAAAGTGTTCTTGATCCAATAACTTGTATCCTCAGTTTCAACCTAGAAAACCTCTGCCTCTCTACCTGACACCATGTATGTACAGTAGAACACATTCAATTGCAATAGCTATCTAAATTGCCTTTCTAGTCAGTAAGCATGAATGAGCCTCTCTAGATTGTTCAGTCCACAGAGCACTAAGCTAAATTGCAGCCTTGGTCTCTTGGGAGTCCCTTGGAACTGCTTTTTTTCTTACTATTTAAAGAATAAGAGAGGGGGTGTCTACTAAAGAACTGTATGTCTGCAAGACTTAGTGCTGGTACAGGAGATCTGCTGTCCTAAAAATCAGGATAATGGTGGCTCTCTAATGCTTTATAAGCAAAGCCTCTTAATTTCATGTTGAAAAAGATGAGTTATGTAAAATACTATCCGATCCAGTGTGCCAGCTGGGGGAGCCTGGAATGCGCTGATGTGACTGCTGGTAGTCCTGTGACTATACCTCATCTGGAAAGCCCGTCTGCTTGGGAGCACAGCTGTGACCAACTTACCTGTGGGATTTCTTTGATTCCCAGTGTGACTGGTCCCTCATAGTACAAGGGTTCTGAAAAGCAACAATGGTGATGGGTGGTTAGACATGCAGCACATGAAGGAAACAAGCAGCTGATAGTAGATGCTTTTTTGTAACAGCATTTCAAAGTGCTCCAGTGACAAGTGTTATGGAACTGCAAAAGGCTCTACACACAGCCTTACAACAGCCTTCCCAAGAGAAATATCAGCATTCATATTGCCTTATATGGGGAAAGCAAGGCAGAGCCTGGGTTCAAGGAGGACCTCATAGCAACTTTTCAATATCTGAAGGGGCCTACAAGGGAGCTGGAGAGGGACTCTTTGTTAGGAACTGCAATGATAGGACAAGGGGTAATGGGTTAAAACTGAAGGAGGGGAACTTTAGGTTAGATATTAGAAAAAAGTTTTTTACTACAGATGAGATGAGACATTGGAGCAGGTTGTCCAGGGATGTGGTGGCTGCCCTGACCCTGGCTGACCGGGCTGGATGAGGCCTTGAGCAACCTGATCTAGTGAGGAGGTGTCCCTGCCCGTGGCAGGGGGGTTGGGACTAGATGATCTGGAAGGTCTGTTCCAACCCTTAAATTCTGTGATTCTATGATGACCTGCAGCCCTTGCCTGAATGGAGGAGGGAGGCATGGCTTTGCACAGCCAGGTGAGCGTGTTCCTACGGCAGCATGCATCCTGCAAATGGGGAAATGAAAGGGAAGGGTGGTTACCAAACTCAAGTCCTTTAGCATGAACTATTAAACACCTGCAGCTGCAATAGCTGAATTGTGCTTTGGTAGCTTTTAGAAAAATCAGTCTGAGCTGTTTGTGTAGGCGTGGACTTCTGACTGCTTGCTGAACGTGACCTTAAAGTAATAAGCACATGTTTATGTCACTGCTGGGGGAGTGCTCACCAAGAAGTTACATGAGGTATTAAAGTCATCACAAGTTGTGTTGGTGACTGGAATAGAGCCTGGGAGTTCCACCTTCCAATCCCCAGCTCCTTGATCGTGCAAGGCATGCTTGCTCTGTGCTATTGAAGAAAGGGCAACTTTGGCATTAATGGAGAAAATTAGCAAGCTGTTCTGCAATTCCTCCTACTTTTTCATAGCTTACTGGGCCAAACTGTGCAGACTTGACTGAAAATATGACTTGACTGTAGATGTTTCAGTAATTTAGAATTTCTTGCACAACTTGTCGCACACAAGTCACGGAGAAGTCTAAGAACTGTTTAAGGATTCTCTTTTGTAGGTGTCATGAAATATTCTTTACTTTGACAGTGACAGAGGAGTGTTTCATCATGTTTATGAGTATATGCTTGTGCTGGCATCTTGATGCTTGTCACTTCTAGAGTGTTGTTTTTGTCCAGTCTCACTGTTGGTTTAAACTGTTTCTTGTGAAAGGCTGGACAAAAGGTTTTGTCATGTTTGTTGTACAGTCCATCTCACCATGCATGGACTTGGAAAACAGGCCCCAGAAGGTCTTCCCACACATGCTATGAAATGTTAGTCTTGCGACAAAATTGTCTGAAAGAATCATGACTATAAGATCAACTAGGAAAAGGAGAAACCTGAGATACCATCAATGTTCTACACCTTTACATGAATGAGAAGTTTGTTTAATGTAATGCCCTGATGATCCTGGGAGGTAGAGAAGATGCAAAACAACTCAGTGTTTTTTAGAAAAACCTAATACCAAAACAGAGAATAGAATATGTAAGTTTTGGCTTGTCAATCTCAAACTATCATCTGTGCTACAGCATTTGTACTGTACTCATTCCCCCTCTGCATTCGTGACTAATTCACCTGGATACCAAGATGTCTTTTCCCTTTCAAAGAGCAGTTACCATTGCTGCTTGCTTCTGTGCACCAAGCAAGAGCCCAGGAGTCTGACACATCTCTGCTGCAGAGAGTGGTGACTCAAGAATTTTAAAAATACAGTACAGCCCACTTCTCTGTTCACAACTTTAATCGAGTCTAAATGGGAATTAAAGGCACTGCAGACTGCATGACTTAAGTGGTGAATGACTCCCTTGGGACTCGAGCTGTATGTGTGTTGATGTGTGCTAAGCCGTACTATGAGCTGCCCTCTCAGGGTGGTGTGGACCATGCAATGGTGTGGCTCATGCTTTATGTGTAGAGATCCTTATATGACTACCTTTCCTTTGATCAACTCTGAGCCTAGCAAATCTTGGATGGCAGCAGTGGAGAGGAAACTGGGCTGTGAAAAATCACCATTCCCCAAAGTCCTTCTCCACAGGGACATGGAAACTCCTCTTGGATCATGTGGCTTGTTAGGATCTCACCTAGACTCTCAGAAAGCTATCCAGAATCTAAAAATACAGATGCAGCATTCAAGCTTTGCAAAGCCTGTATTTTAAAATGAAGTAGGAGTCATCAGGCCATAAATTTGCTTCTGAAATGATGGCAATACTAAAGTCTCATCTATAGTGTAGGTAGAAGCTATTTTTCCACACACACTTCACTGTGATAAAGTAACCAGATGAATGCAGTCCTAGGGCTCTGCCTCAGCCCACTCTGAGAAGTTTTCTGTGATTGCTCTGATGTGTTGTAGCTATGTCTTTGCCTGGTAATCAAAGAAGGTACTCTCATGGGCTGTATTATCTTTTAGGAAGCCTTCAACTGTGGAGCCAGGTGCTTTGTGTCCAGTTTGAGGTCTGTGTTTACTGCTTTATGCTTCAGCAATGCCCTTATTTAGCTCTTTTGAACCAGGAATCTTGCAGTGGTTCACAGTTATTAGTCACATGGAGCTACTGGAGATAGTTCAGTGAAGTGCCACTGTTATAACTAGGGGACTGGAACATTTCTCCAGTGAGGAGAGACTGAAGGAGCTGGGACTATTCATCCTAGAGAACAGAAAGATTAGGGGAAAGCTCATCAATATGTACAAATACCTGAAGTGGGGGTGTAAAGAGGATGGGCTCTTCCCAGTGGTGCCCAGTGCAGGGCAAGAGGCAGCGGGCACAAATCAAAACACAGGAGGTTTCTTCTGAATACCAGGAAATACTTTTTCTTACTATGAGGATGACTGAGCGTTGGCAGAGGTTGCCCAGAGAGGTTGTGGAGCCTCCATCCTTGGATATATTTACAAACCCTGCCTGGAAATGGTCCTGGGCAACTGGCTGTAGATGGCCCTGCTTGAAGTAGGTGAGAATTGGACTAAATGACCTTCAGATGCCCTTTCCAACCTCAACCATTCTGTGTTTCTGTAACCAGTCCTCTAGAAATCTCCTGCGACCTTCCTTGCTTCAATGGGGAGGGAGAAACCTGCTGCTTTGAAGGTATAGGAAAGAAAGGGCAGTTTTCATTTTCAGCTAGTTGAGACCTGCCAGAAAATAATATATAGATCTGCTGAATTTTATCACTCATATAAACTTTGTACCGCAGCAATCCCCTTAGTGCCTATGCTAACTGGATCAGGCTTTTCAAAGCCCATTCAATGTTCCAGTTGCATGAGGATTTCTTCTAAGATTCCAGAAATGTAAACATCCTCCAAGGCTTTAAGAACTGTAGTTTTTCACAGCATCCTTCATATGCATTTTTCTCCATATATTCATACATTTCTACATTCCTCCATTGAAAGAGGATGAACACATCTGCTGCAGTAAGGGTAACTGTCACAAACACTGAGCCTAGCTCATTGAAAGAATTCTGTCGTCTTTTTAGAGAAAGCCAAATGTAATTGAAAAAAAAATAAATTGGGAAGAGCATAAATAATGAGTGCATTTTTCCAGTTAAAAATTTCCCTATGTCTTTATTGGTCTGCTGGTAAGTTACAGTATCTGTCAAGCATACTGTCATCAGTGATGTGCCTTCAGCCCTTTTTCTTAAAGACTTATCTGAAGGTGATTTCTGCAGAGCACCCTAGAAGTATTTCTAATGTACCACTGATTCAAGGTGATACTATTGTATTTTTGTAGCAGCTTTTCACTGTTGTTTCTACCAGAAGTAACTTAATCCTTTTCCTTGCCTGTGAGCAGGCCTTTAGTAGATTCCAATCCGAAGCAGAGCTTTCAAATGTGTAAGGACTTCCTGAGGATTACTTCAAGTTACTAGTTATCATTTATAATGAAAGATGCTTCTCCTTCCTGACAAAACACCTATAATGAAATTCTCACTCCTCTTTCTCAAATCTTCCTTGCACTGAAAATCTTTATACGTTCTCACACTCTTGTACTATATAAAGGCCCTGTACATCTGCACCCACCTCTTCCTTTTTCTATGTTTCAAATATTTTTAGAACTCAAATGCTCTATGTTGGAGTTCTTCTAGGACATGATCTTGCACCCATGCAACTGACACACAGCTTCTGTGGGTTTTGTGGATGCAGGAATGATCTGAATAACTGCCAGCTGTAGATGTATAGTTGAATGAGAAAAGCATATATAAATATGTAGCCAGGTGAGAAACATTCACTCCCTTTACTGGGGAGGAAGAAAAGAGGTGAAGGGGCTAAGCAAGATGTCATCATGTATCAGCCAAGGACCTAGCTTTGTGGTGCAGCTGCTTTCTCAGAAACAGGTACCTAAACTCTCAATGTGATAGCCAGTTCTGTGATTCATGTTAAATTCTCTGCTTTTATTCACAGATACTATTTTAGAAACTTGCTCACTGTAACACCTACAGAAAGGGACAATAATGTAAAGAATGGAGATCTGAAGCAAGATGGGGATTTCTCCATGGCATGTGAACCTGCCCAAGGAATTGTGCAAATGCTCTGATGGTGCCTTTGTCAGTTGGGTCTGAAAGAAAATTTGCACAGGATGCAGCTATCTTTTTGTCAGGAAGCTTTGTTTCAGCCTACAAGTTGTGGTTGGCATGTTGCTAAATATTACCCCGGTCTTTTTCTCTGATTTTAGTGATTGCATTGGGAAATCTGTTAAATCTTATGTAACTGTTTTCTTTGGAGGAAATGAGGAATAACCAGCACTTTCTGCTAAAAAAGAGGAAGACCTGAGTTCATGTTATGCCACAAAGAATTTAGCAGTCTTGTTGTTATTGTTCTTAAATGGACAATGGCCAGTTTCCTTGCAACCTTTGAGCTAACAACTTCACAACAGGCATTTAGCTCAAAGAAAAAGAGCTTGTAATCCATTTAGGAGTCCTACTGAGCAGTGCTGGATGTGACCTTTGCTTAACAAAAATAGTAAATACTATATGATTATGATGAACATGAAACCTCCAGCTATATTGAGTCTTTCCAGCAGAGAAAGTATTTTCAGTCATGGCAAAACTGTAGCATTATAGGAGAGCAAATAAAAATAAAGTAAACAAGCTCAAACACTCAAGACTTTTCCACATGTGTCTCTTAAAAGTATACTTTTCTTATTACTTCTGCTCTGCTCTTCCACATGAGTGGATCAACAAAGGCTGTAGCAGAAAGACATTCTGTCTTATTTTGGGAGAGGGAGGAATAGGCAATTTTTGGCCTCCTTGTGAAAGGCAAGCAAATTCTGTGTGAACCTATATTTAAACTCAGGTTAGGTCTGGCCAAATATTGCAAATGTTGCCAGTACAACAGGGAAAAAGGGGCTCTCCATGAAAAGCTTCAGTTGAAAGGGCTGTCTGCTCCCCTGTACCTTTGCTAGGCTGCATAACTTCACCATTCACATGTCCTTTCTGTATAGGTATTAGGTCAGATTTACAGCTGTGCAAATATGGTAAGTTATGCCTGAATTGCCTTAAACTGGTCTTCAGCTCATTTCTGTGTCCTAAAACATGGGTTAGAATCAAATGTCAACTAATTAATAAATACCACATTTTCAGTTTGAACCTTAGTGTGAGAAAGTTCACTTCTTTCCCACTGTGACTTAATTACTAAATAAAACCAGCTACTGAACTAGAGGGTGTGTATTAAAAAGTGCATGGCAGAGGTCCTTACACTAAAGTAGGAATGCTTCTAAATAAAGAAATATATATGGTATTATTTAAACAATGAACTATGGGTTTATATCATAATGTACTTCAATTAGTAGAAACAATTGCCTGTCAGTTTAAGATTAAGGGAGTTGGAAACCCCAGGAGGTTTTGGCTTTGTGGCTTAATGCGTGAATGGAAGTTTGTGCTCAGCTCAGGACTGACTCTGCTTCTCCTTAATGTTTCTCTAAAGGATGTTATTTAGTACTTCCTCAGAATAAGATAGTTTTTCAGTAGGTCTGTGGGTGGGTTTTTTCCTCTTGTAATTCAATACACAATTGAAGAAACTTCTGAATTAAATTTTTTATCTGTCTAGCTTACAGGATTTGCATAATTGGTTGCTCACACAGCACTTCACTATTATTATTAGTGATTTCTGTGCTGTGTGAAATGTCTTAGTAAGTTTCCAGGGACTGTCTTAGCAGTAGTGCTGTACATGGTTTTAAACTCATAGCCCTTGCACATGAGTTATTGCAGTGTTACCAGGATGAAGATGCAAGTGAAGGAAAGGATAGCAGAGCTTCTGTAACTAACTGGTGCTCTAACAACTCAAACTTTCCTGTGGCTCTACCTGTTCATTTTAAAATCAGCATAAAGTGATAATTGTGATGTGAGAGGGATTTAAAAATAACTGTTTAAGATATGTGGATATTACAGTCAAGAATCATGACCATAGCTCTTCTACACATAGCATGGCTAATTCAACACTACCTAGCTGGGGTTGTGGCAGAAGGGACCCTGACATGCCCAGGCTCACCTAGGACCAAAGATGCCTACTCTCTGGGGGCAGCTAATACCACTGTTAAACCAACTAGTTCAAGTCTGCACCAGTTGGCAGTTTGACTGGCATGAACTGAATTAATCTGACTACCACATAGGCACACGTTGATCAGAAACCAGATGCAAACTGTAGATGGTATCAGATAGTGTCTTGGTCCAAACATCCTTATTCAAGCATAATTCCTCTTAAACTGAGTTAAGAGTTGCCTTTAAGGACATGAAGTGTTGCTTAATGTGAACAGTTTTTTGTTTGCTCAGCCATTTCTTTTACAGAAACAACTTTTACTTTTGTCATACTTCTTGCTCACATGACAACCATGTGCCTATAAATAGGGCTTATGAGCCTCTCTGCTGTTGGATGGGGTCACATAACCACAGTTATTTTTTATGGACTTGAAATCCCATGCGCATGCACTATTCTGTGATTAAAAGAAAAGCAAGCAAACAGGTTAGGAGGAAAAGCAGGTGCTTAAATTAAAATGTCTCTGTCCTACTGTGTTTCTGTCATCCATTAACATGCTGTTGAAGTAAACAGAACACTGCGATGTATTGGTGTGTTCAAAAGCACAGCAGGTGCATCCTGCTTGGGGTATTCAGTAGCTATCAAACACTTAGATTACCTCCTGTCTTCATTCCACAGAAAATAAGCTTAGTATGACCCGGCTTGCAAAGTGTCTCTGAGTGGGTTAAGACGGTCTTCCCATTTACAATCATTTCAAGCTTGACATATAGTTCCTTGATGCTGTGTCCTACACACAAACCAGAAGCAGAACTCAGAGAAAGTGCGAGGGTAAACAGGTTTATTAAAAAGATTCAATTCTGCCCCCCGCCCTCTTCCCCCCTCTTCTTGAGCCATTAAATGTTTTCTCTTCACTTAGAACTCCTGATACATAGAAATCCATGCTTCAGGAGCAGGCCTCTGAGCCCCTTAAGGTATATGACAAGGGACATAATAGTATATATCTTTATTGTTGTATAAACTATGCCCATGACCATTCTGACTCTGAGGTCAACCCGCACAGTAAATCTTATGTCCTTATATCTAAACTTTCTTTTCTTCTGTCCTTAGCTGAGAGATCATATCCAATGGGCCCCTAGGAGGAGCTTGTGACCTGTATCTACTGCCTGGGAAAACTCAGGCTGGCCTGAGCCAAACCTGTGCCAGGGACCAGCACAGTAGCTGGGCAGTGCTGGGATGTTGCCTGCTTGTGCTAACATAGACAAAGCCAGTGACTCTGCTGGATTTAGAGGAAGGTCCTGTACTCTGACTTGTTGGAAAAGCATTTGCAAATGCCTGTAATGTGATTTTTTGCAGGTTTGTTCAACTTTGCAGACACCTGACAACTGATGCTTCCTGGACCAAAGGGCAGCATGTCTCACAGAAGGGAGGTCTTTTGTGTGCAAGAAAGCATTCCCAAATCTTAAAAGACACTTAGTACATAAACTTATTTTCAGCACCAGGAGTGTATAGCAGCACTTTCATATTTATGCTCTGGTAGCAGAGTTTCTAGGTGAGCTTGGGGCCAACAGGTTTGCAAGAAGGTGGCTTTCCTGTGTAAAGATCATAAAGCAAGCTATGGCTAATATTAACTTGTGCACCCAGTTTTGACCTTTTATTGCTGATCAGTCAGGTGCTGAAGGGTGTAATTTCAGCTAGTGCAGGTGGTAAACTTAGGGCATGAGTGTTGCCTCAGGCTAGCAGTTCCCCAGCATGTTTCTCTCTATGCCCAGGAGGGGCAAAGGAGTGTCCCCACCTTGCTCAGTGGGAGTCCATTCAGCCTCCTACCTGCAAGGGTCACAGCCTTGGCAATTTGGTGAGCACTGCTGGTGCTGATGTAAGAGTGAGGGTGCTGTCTCACTCAGCAAGACTCTCCCCAGAAGACTTAGCTGTGAAGACAAGCACTAGAGCAGGTCTGCCATGGCTATCCATGTGTACAAATGAGGAATAGAGGCTGAGGGCTTGCAAACCTGTTGGCCCCAAGCTCACCTAGAAACTCTGCTACCAGAGCATAAATATGACCCTCTTAGGGTGACATATGTATTCTGAGGCTGAACTGAAAACAACCAACATTTCTGTGGTCTTGCACAGGTTTTGAAATTTCTAAGAAATGAAGCCCATTCATATTTTATAGGAGGTTGTCACCCTTGCTTATTTCTTAATACCAGCAGTCACACATGAATTACCTGTTTATGGCACGAGAAAGTAGCAATTCACTTACTTAGGTTCATTGCAGCTCTGATGTTAAAGGTGTTGCTTGTAATATCAGAACAACGGTCAATGCTGAGAGAGAAATCTTGCTGGGGATCTATGTGAAGACACAAAGCAGTGAGTAGCAAGTTGTATCTTTAATGAGATACTAACTGTATAGAAGAAAACAATAATACATAGAAGTCTTACAGAAAACAAATTACATATTCCTGAAAAATTGTCCAAGAAGTGCTCAAAGCTCCCATAGTCTGTGTTCAATAGCTACTTCTGTCATTCCTGCCACTTTGACCTAAAGCACACTGAGATGATAACCTGTATGTGGCTAAAACCTACTGTGTAGGAGAATGAGCCAAGTTTAAAGAAAGCAAGTTCCCCACAGTGCTGAGTAGTCAATCAACAGTAAAGCCTTAGCACAACAGCTCTTCACAGACTGTGCATTGCCATTCCTTCCTCAGCACTGATGAGCAATTGCTTATGAAGATGTTTTTAAATTAATTTGTATCACAAGATGGGTTGGTGAGGCTGTTTGGGAAACTGAATCCTGAAGCGGGATGGAAAGTACAAAAAAGAAAATAAAGTTATGTAACTGAGATACTGCAGTACTTTATTCTGTGTCCAACATCCCATGATATTTCAAATCCAGGAAATAATCTACCTTTTTCCCTTTCTGGGACACTTTAGCAGAGATGGGGTCAAAGGGAGCCCTGTGGCTGATGATTGTCATAAAAGTGGTTCTTGACAGTTCCTACAGTATCCCTTGTTCTGCATCAAGCTCCAGAACTCTTATACAAACATAATTGTTTTCTGGACACTTCTACCTTCTTCCTTGCTAGTCTCCATGAGACTTCTTGGTATGCCTGAAGGCTTGCTGATGTGCCACTCTCTGGTGACAGACAGCAGCAACAACTGACAGCTCAGCTTCTACAACCAACAGAATGTGCAAGTGTTTTTCCAAAGCTGTGGCTGGAGCTGAAAGATTTGGCCAGTTTGGAACCATACTTGAGCCTCAAGGCTTGCTTTAGGCATAGTTTTGTCCCTTATCATGGCTCTCCAGCCAGCCTCTGCATCCAGCTTCCTTCTCTCTGGAAGCAAGAGAAGCAACTACAGCATGTGCAGAAGCAGCTATAGGCTCCCTGTTTTACATAGAGCTGGTAGTGACAAATGCAGACTTGGGAAATGAGTTCTGTTTCTAAGTTATTGTTGCTTGAGCTAACCTTCTCACTGAATTGAAAATAATAGTTTGGGAGAACTTTCCTTTGATGCTGTGGTGAAACTTGAGTCATGAGTATTCTCTGTGAGACTGAGCAATCATCCCCATAGTCTAACCCTGTTTTTGCAGCAGTGCTTCACAGCTGTAGCAGCTGGCAGCCAGCAAGCCTGCAGGACCAAAACCTGCTTGCTTAAAGGAGATCATCAAATGAATGAAAGTGTTGGGAGGACCTGGGGGGCTCTAACTAACCCAGGCTCTGTGAGCCCACAGGCTGTCAGCGTTGTCTAAAGGAAGTACCTTTTAGTACAAGTTCTAAGTTCTGGTAAATTAAGAAAACTGTTTATAGGAGGGAGATATAAGGCACTGGTATTTCCCATTGTGTTGCTGTGCTGGACTTTGTCCTCCACACCACTAAAGCAGTCTCTGCAGTTGCATAATCTGCTTGGGACAAGAAGTTAGTGCCTGGAGTTGTTTATCAAGTGTGTCAAGAGTCAGAGGGTTGTCTTTCTTCCCTTTCCATATTCCTCTCAGTTCTCCCTTTGTTTTTGCAGCTTCAGAAGCTGTTGGAATCGGTTAGGAGAGCAGTTTCCTGCTCCAGCTGGAAAGTGTGTCAAACTTCTCTTTTCTCCAGGACCGTTACTCCTGCTTCCCCTCTGGTTTCTACCATCTCTCAGGGCTTGGTTTCCTCTTTCCTCTGGCCTTCTGCAAGAGCCCCTCTTGTTTCTGTTTTGTGTGTGGTGTGATGATAAGGTTCAGGAAGCAGCTGTTCAGATTCAGAGCAGCTTGGACATTGATGCTTACAAATAGTGCTGGGTTGTCAAATTACTAAAATTGTCAGTTCTGTAATTTCCAGAGGGAGTTATGGTAAAAAATGGCACTGCCATTTTCTCTTTTCAAAGAGACTAGGCTGTGCTTTAATCAACAAATTAAATCATGGTATTACAGCTAGCAGTTGAATTTTTAGTTCAAAGTTTCTCATTGATAACTGGGTGGAAAAGGGCTGTTCATGACACCAAGCTTTTCTGAAAAGCTTGGGCTTCTTACAGTGACCCTGATCTCTGAGTTACTTTAATTTGAGTGTCTTATGTCTGTTTTATTTCTATGGATTGAGCTTCTTTACCAGACAACATATTTTGTGATGTGTTGTAGCCATGGATGTCTTTTACTGCCCTGCGAGTGATGCAGCATAGGGCTCTTATATATCCAGAAAAAGGGCTCTGATATATCCAGAGAAGTGTTGTCTGGTCCCCAGAGAAGAAGACAGTGTGGAAGCCTTTCTCATATGAAAAATTCCAGCAAAATTTGTGAATTGGAGCACTTGGATTTTGTTGCTGAGAAATGTAAAATTTTCCACTGTCGAAAGAAACCCCAATTAATTTTCTAACCATCTCCCCGTGGAAATTCATGCTAAGACTTTGCAATCCAACATCTTAGATACTGTGGTATATCTGGGGGCCTCCTGCTACAATCGAAATCAATTGAAAGGGTGGCTGTGTTGCTAGAGCTATGGTGCCAGGGAGTCTGGATTCCAAAACATGTAGGCAGAAAGGTTGCTGCTTAAAGGGAATTAATGAAAATAGCGATTTTCAGCAGTATGAAAAGTGAAGATGTCTGTAAATTCAGCTGTGCATCATGCACTAAGGAAGTGTGCCATACCCCTCTTCCTTTAAATGGTGAGGAGTCCCTCCTGTGGCAAAGGCAACTTGAGGCAATTGCCATTTTTGTGTTTCATCTCAGATGCACAACTGTGAGTCACTGTGTCTCTTGTGGAGGTTTAATACTTATTCTTCCTTGTTTGCCACAGTCTGAAGTGAGCTGGTTGGACTGAAAAAAATTGCATGTTATGTCTTTCACATGTGCAGAGCAATAACATTTACTGTTAAATCTCTAAAATACGTGGGGCTGCCCTTCAGCCTTCTACTTCCCTGCAACATTTCATGGTGCACAGTACTGTATGTTCCCAGACTTCCCTCCACCCACTCCCTTCAATCTGCTCCCTCTTCCATAATTAAAGCTAGAAACTCTTCAACTGGTTGCAGAGTTTTGCTTTTCCAGTTCAGCTTTGATCTATCACCAACACTTAAAACATTGCTGGAAATTTTGCAAACACATTGAGGTTTACCAGTGAAAATCCACTTACTGAGGGGAAAAGGGGCATTTTTTGTGTATCTAGTCTGAAGGGCTTGAGCTGCAACATATTTACAGCTAGCATGAAGGTGCCAGGGAGCAGGATTTTGAATCAAGTTTGTCTCTAGACAGTTCTAAAGCTTTCAGGCAACTGCCCTGAGAAAGGGACAAGTCTTTGGGTTTTGTAAACAATCAATGCAGTCTAAGATCTCTTAGATGTGTTATTTGAACCTGATTCTGTGGCTGATGCTGTGAACTCCCAACTGTATCTAGCACTGAATATACAGCTCTTGCCGAAGGCTGGTTTCTGTAGTACAATCCTGCTTTGTGAGAGGTAAATTTAACATGTACCTGGCATTTTGCCAACAATCATCACTTACATGACTTGGTGTCAGCTGAGCCCATGCATCACACATCCCATTTCATCCTTCCTTACCCAAGTACTCTGGTGGAGATTTGTTGCTATATTGACTTGGGATGTAGTTTTCCTTGCATACCACCTGCACTGGCACCACAGTGCAAGATTTCAGCCTGGCTTACTCTTCTGAGGTGCTCACAGTGTTGGGTTTGTCTGGGTTTTTCATAGAAGGCTGAGCAGGTGTGTGTAACACAGCCTAGAAGCTCAAACGAGTTCCTGAACCTTTCTTCCTAGAGTTTTTTCCTGCTTTTCTTCTTGGCAGAAGGTGCACAGGTGAATTAGCTCAGCCATATTTACAGCGGTGTAACCCCAGTGATGGGAACAACAGATGGGAACTCACTTTCATGCCTCAGCTACTGCAATTTGTGGCCCAGCAGCTCATGCTCCTGCAGAATATGGGTGTGCACAGAGCCACAGGGCTGCGAGCTGGGTCTGCCCTTACAGCTTCCCGTGCTCTGGGAGGTGATCTCCAGAGCACAGGATGAAGCAGACAGCTGGGAATGATAATGTGCTAACCCACTGTGGCTATGTCACTCAGCCTGAGCTGCTGGATGACTAACTGGGCATTACAGAAACTGCGAGGCCAGATGGGAAGCACCTGTTACAGGAATTTTGCTGGGCTGGTGTGCAACAGCCTCTGTCTTTTATTATTCTCTCTCCCTCCCCCCATCTTGATAACTGTCCTCTACTGGTTTCACTTTCATCTGAATCTGCTCTAAAATCACATTGTTTCCACATGAGCATGCAAATCAGTGGTATGGCAAGAGTCCACATCTGTAAGTCTTGGAGTGGTGAGAAGACTTTCTGAATTGGTAAGCTTTGGGTGTTCTGAAATAACACTTTTAGGAGCAGATGAGCCACAGAATTGAATGAAATGACATAGCTGCACTTGGCTAGGGTCATATAAGGACAGACTGGTGCTAAAGGAGCTGGAAATTAGCACAAGGAAGAAACATTTAGCAATTACCCAACACTGCTCACCTTCAAAGCTCTTAATAAAATTAAATCATTAGTCTTTACAATATTCAAGGTGATGAAAGGAGAGGGAAAGAATGAGGAACTGTTTGGGATTTCAGACTTTATGTATTCATTCAACAATTTCCATTTAATGTCTATTTAAATAAATTAACCTGAATGCTCAAGGTTATATTTGATGCTGGAATCTACTTAGAAGGTACTGAGGAAGAAGCATCAGGTGAATTAGCAGCTCTCCGGTTATGCGTTTAGATTTCACTGAGCACCTTCACTTTAATGAATTTCCCTTTGGGCCTGCCTTCACCACATGCCACTGCCACGTTCAGATGTATCTGGGAGGGGCAGAGTGACCTCAGAGGAGAGCAGA